TAGTATGCGGTTGGTATACCCCCCCCCCCTATCACCCGCGGGTGGGTCCCCCCTGCCAGGTGAAGCGCGCACTGCGCTGCCACGGCACTTCGCTGCCACTGCACTGCGCTGCCACTGCGCTGCCACAGCGCTGCCACTGCGCTGCCACTGCGCTGCCACTGCGTTGCCACAGCGCTGCCACAGCGCTGCCACGGCACTGCGCTGCCACAGCGCTGCCACTGCGCTGCCACGGCACTGCGCTGCCACGGCACTTCGCTCCCACGGCACTTCGCTGCCACGGCGCTTCGTTGGTCCCCCTGTCACCGGGTGGGTCCTCGACTACCGCAAGGTGACGCGCGCGGGCGGGCCGTGCTACGCGTGGTCGTCGCCCGGCGGTGCAGCAGACACACGGCCCTGTTCACACCGCAGACGGTGTGAAGAGGCGCCGTTCACGCGGTCGGGCTGTGAACAGGCGCGCGCGGGGGGGGGGGGGGAGACGCGGCGGGCTCGGTGTGAGGAGGCGCCGTTCACGCTGTTGATCTGTGAGCAGGAGCGACGCGGCCACCTCGAGGCGCCGCAGTGCCCTACCGTCCCCGGCACTCAAATCCAATGGTCTCAAAACAGGCGCGGGCGAGAAGCGGCCGCTCGAGACGCTGCAGTACGAGGCGCGGGTGGCGGTGGAGGCAGAGTGCGGCCACTGGGTCAAGCTCAAGGGCGAGATCGGCCGAGATTTCCCCGAGATCAGCCGAGATCGGCCGAGATCAGCCGAGCTCTTACCGATGTCACCCGAGATCACCCGAGGTCGTACTACAGGGCGTGGCCCCAGCGCGCATCGTGTCCATCCGCAAATGGGTGAACGACTTGACTAACTATAGCTGCATGAATCCCCCCTCAGGCGTGCCGCAGCCGGCGTGGGTCGAGCTGGACGTCTTCCTCGCCGGGTGAGAGAGTTGGGGTCAACCTCAATAGCCTCCACCGAGCAGCCTTGTGCAAGAATGTGCCGCTCGGGAGGGGGCCTCTATCTCTCGCTGAACAGCGTCTTTTTTTTCTCGCTCAAGAGCGTGTCGAGATGGGCGCAGCGCGCGCGGAGAGCAGGCTTCTTTCATGTGACATGCACATGCACATGCACATGCACAACAACATGTACATGTCTCATGTGCATGTGCATGCACATGTACATGTTGCAACGGCTAGTTCCATTTCACTGTGGCACAGCTCGCGTTACAAAACCTTGATTTTGACCATTGCGCGAAAAAGGTACATCTCGGTGCCTTCCAGAGGCAGCTGCGACCCCGCCGAGTGGACGGTAACGCACAGCAGGTGGCGCGGTGCGTTACCGTCCACTCCGCTGGGTCGCAGCTGCCTCTGCGCGTCCTGGGGATGTACCTTTGTCGCGCGCCGGAGACGACTCGACGCCGCTGAGATCGGAGATCAAGCTCTGACAGGTCGCACGTCGCTCCTTTGACGCCGACGTGACTCACCCGTGCAGATCACATCAGGACACGGTCTCGACGCGCTCGGTACGACGCCTGCGACCCGTCTCGGGTCAGGTGGCACGACGCTCATCGCGCCTACCAGCGCTGCCGTGCAGGTTGCCACGACGAGGTCGAGCACGCTTCTATACGCTCGCCGAGCCTTCCTTTCCATCCCATTTGGCAGCCTGGGAACGGTGGCGGTCAGAGGCAAAGCATACGAGGGGTGGTGGAACCACATGTCACGGCTACTGCCGGCTCGACCCCACGATAGCCTCCGAAGGCTGACTTTGAGGCACCATCATCGGACGATGTCGACGAGTTGGGTCGCTCTCGCGGTAGCCAGATGACCTCTCATACTAGTATCATCGGCCATGGCCGCAGGAAGCGCGGGGGAGGGCGCTGGGAGCAACACGGAGCTCCGTTGGACGTTTTCAAGATTAGCGTGTCAGAGTGAAATGGAACTAGCCAACATGTGTGCATGCAACGATTACGGCTTTAGATGTGATTGAAAGGAGAAGGGTGAAAGGCCTCCCTCCCCCTCTCCCCCTGCAATCCCCTGAGGAGGACAGGGTCCTCCGGCTCCGGCTCAGGTCAGAGGGCCCAGCGACTCGTCGGTTGGGTGTAAACGGGCATTGCCTGTGGTCTTCAACGCACAAAGGGTGTGAATAGAGCTCTCTCAATCCTTCTGAGCACGAAGACCACTCGAACTCTTCTGCAGACTCTAGTGTTTCCGGTTTTCATAAGCTGTGAATAGTTATTGCGCCCGCCGCAGCCCGCCCTATTCACCTGGGTTTCGCGCCACGGGCCACGAGAGCCCTGTGGAAGAGCCCAGCTGGCATGTTCTATCGCCCGGGTGTCGGGCTGTCTGCATACAGACGTCTCGTCGCCGTGGCCGACGCATGGCTGGTCCGACGTGTGGAGGAGTTTGACCTCAGCCAGGCCGTCGGTGTCGGCGGGCTGACGGCGGCCGCCGGAATCGCGATTCGCTCTGCCAGCTGCCAGCAGCCTCGTGTCGCCGCTCTCGTTGGCGCAGCAGCAGCGATTGACCTTTGCGCCGTCGCTCGACGGCGTCACCGCCCATCCGACCCGCGCAGCTCCTGCAGCTCCTGCAGCTCCTGCTGTCAGTCTTCTGCTCTCACGCACCTCACTCGCCGCGCGCGGATTGTGCGCCGCGCCAAGGAGGACACGTGCTCATGCAAACAATGCGAGAACTTGGTTGCGCCGCTTAGTGGCGGCGCTGCTTTAGAGGAAGCGGCAGCGTGGGAAGCAAAGCAGATGGAGGCGGCGCGGCATGCCAAGGAGCTGCTGCTGGCGGAGGTTGAGCGGCTAAGTGCAGCAAGGGCCCAAGGGCAAGAAGGGCAAGAAGAAGAAGAAGAATGTTGGCGTGGGCGATACGGGCGCCGCTAGGCTCAACGAGGAGTGCTGTGCAGTTAGAGAGCTCGTAGGACGTAGCGAGCTCGATTTTGATGAGAATTTGATGAGAAATATCTCAATTTTGAGCAAAAAACGCCAAAAAAAATCGGCGCCTGCGGCGGGCCAGCCTCCGGCGGCGCCTGCGGCGGGCCGCTGCCCAGACCCCGTTTACACCCGAGCTATGCCCCACGACCTGAGCCGGAGCCTCCCCACCTGCACGAGCTACGACGAGCAGGGGAATTTGGAAAATTGGACCGGGGGACCCGTCACCCGAGCGTTAGAGGGTCCGCAGCGTCCTCGGACACCACTCTCCAGCCGCGCTACTTTCGCCCACCCACCGCTCTCGCATGACATCTCGACAATCCTCATCTCTGGGCCCAGACTCCTAACCACTTCCCCTGCTCGCCCAGGACCACGAAGCGCCGCCCGCGCGCCCATTGACCCCCCAATCAACCCACGCTGTCCCTCAATCGCCACCCGCCAGATGTACTGCCCTCGCCCACCCAATACTCTCACCCTCCTAACCCGGACAGTCCAGGTACAGGAAAAGCGGGGAGCGGGGCCCGATCCAAGGAGCACCCCGTCGGCCCGGGAGGGCTGTGAATTTCGGCGCGGGCGGAAGGCTGCCTGCAGACGCTCAGCCCCCAGCTGAGCTGCCGAATCCTCCCGGCTAATCCCCTGACCTGCCGCCTGAAACGGGACAACATTACACCACCTCACACACGCTCCCCCCTCAGGGCTAAGCAGTGCGCAAGTCCACCCGAACTCTAGGCGAGGCGTCGACCACTCCTTCGGAATAGCTCTGTCAGTGGCTGCACTAGACGCCCAGTGATGGCGCGCGGCGCGGGCGGATGACTGGAAGAGAAAATGCGGAGATGCTAGCTCGCAGGTAGATGTGCTCAGCCAAGGGTAGGGGATGAGGGGAATGTGTCAGTGTGAGGGGTGCACCAACCGCAGAGCGTTGTGTTTTGCCTTTGAAAACTGAACAGTTTTTTTTTTCAGTATCGCGCACTAGCTGTGGCTACCGTAGGCCACACTTCTCAGTTGCGTCGCCGGGGGTTCCCTGCCCTACGGCTTTAACCTAAGTGGGAAGCTGGCCGCTTATCCGAAGACACGTCGCACAAGGGGCTTGTTGCACGAGAGTATTAGTTGAGTATGTGGGACACCGCGATGTCTCTCAGATATGAGGGGTTTTGACTCCTACCGGCTTCTGACGCTATCCCTGGCAGCTCTAATGACCAGGATCAGTAGTGTTGTGTCAGAGGGTGCCCATACTAGCGCAGGAGCTGCCACACTCGCCCGGACCGTCCTCTTCTGGGGCCGGTTCCGCAGCCCGCGAGAGCCGACAGCGGGGCCGTGCCGCGGGTGCCTACTGCCGAGTGCCACAAACACTGCGCCGTCCCGCCATCACCTACAGGCTGTCTTGTGTGATGGTTGGGATGTCCAAACGCCACCATCTTGGCTCTTGCGACCTCAAACCCGCGAGCTGTATGGGTGGTCCTGACGTCGACAGACGCCCGATGACCACGGTGAAGCTGAGCCGGAACGAGTCGACAAGTCTCGTCTGAGCCCGTGGCGGTCGCCGGCTGAGTCGCTGTGCACGGGCCGGTACCTCAGGCGTCACCTCCGCAGCCTCAGGTCTCAAACTCCACCACCTCCGCCGGGACGCCTTCGGTGGCACGCTCGGCGGCGACTTTGTGGCAGCCCCACAGCGAGCGCGGCATCGAGCCTACTCGGTCTGGTCGGTCGGCCGCACTCCCTGGGTGCCAGGGAGTGCGGCCGACACGCGAGCGGTGCTTCCTGGCAGCGCGCGCCGGCTGTGGGGCTGCCACAATCTCGAGACGCTTTTGGGACATTTTCGACGCTTTTGTCCCATACTAGTATAGTCGTGCAACAAGCCCAGGGCTTGCTAAATGCGCGGGGCGAATGAGTGATGAAGTTACTGCCTAGGTGTCCGTGTCCCCCATGGATGGCTTCCCCTGATCTCTCTCACTCCCACCAGGGTACGGCTTTATAGCTACAACGTCAATGATCCGCGCGCGCAAAAAGACTGCCAATCTATTTTCTTGAAAAGAGAAAGCGCGGACGGCCCGACCCTCGGCACGGCCGCCTCGCCCACCTTTGGCACCGCCGCCCCCGGGATCCAGCCCGGCCCCACGTCGGGGAGGCCCGCCATCCGCTTCGGCACGGGCCTCGGCGGCGCGTCCGCGTAGTACTTTGCGATCGCCTGCCGGATCGTGTGCGGATCCGCCTCGAGCACGTCCCTAGTGAGCCTGGGGGCGAAAGCGGACCTTGTGACAGAGCTGGGGCTGCATTCCTTCCTCAGCGCGTCTCGGAGCGCCTGCGGTGCTCCGCGCGCGTCAGCTTCTGCGTGCCCAGCCGGCCCTTGGTCGCGTCCAGCACCATCTTGACGGCCGTATTGGTCTGGTTCCGTTGCTCCTCAATGTTGAAGATGCGCAGCATCGCGGTGGCCGCCTCGGCACGCGCAGCCAGCTCCCGAACGCACCGCAGCTCGACGCCGCGGCTGTCGCTGCCTGAACGGTTATTCAGCTCGATTCAAACGCACATCGACCACCAGGACAGCCCGGCGGGCTTCAGGCATCGCTGCCGTTCGACGCTGCCAGCGAGTTTGCAGCCTCCCACCAGTACCGCACGGGAAGATGCGCCGTCGGCGGCGGCTCGCCCTCGGATGGCGGCAGCAGCGACGCCTCGGCGAGCTCCGCTGCGCGCAAGTAGAGCCTGTGGGGAAGGTTTCGGGAAGGCTCAGGTGAATTCCCGCGCCTGGAGCGCTGCCGCACGGCGCAGGTAGAGCCGGTGCGCGTCAGCGAAGGTGGGCGCCACACGCCGTCGCTCGCCGGGCAGCTCGACGCACCGCTCGGAGATCCCGTGCACAGCGAGGCCGTAGATGTGCGTGGCGAGCTTCATCAGGAAGCGTGGGTCGCGGGGGAAGGCCTCCGCCGCCCAGAGGAGCCACGTCTGCAGGCTGGACTCGCTCTCGAGAAGAAGGAGGTCCATCCCCTCATCAAAGGCCTGTAGACTGTCGAGCGCTGTCAGAGCGGTGTTTCGACACCGAGATCGTTCAAAGGCACGCTGTTCAAAATCCTCGTCGGGCAGCCGCGTGCTCTTCAGCGCGGCCGAGTAGTACTGGTTGGCCGCGTACGACTCCTCGAGCGCGCGCGCGAGCCGCGCCGCCGCGTCCCCCGACGCGCGCAGCGCCGCAATCGCCGTGTGCATCAGCTCGACCGACGCGGCCGCGTCGCCGTGCTTGAGAAAGAGTTGGTGAGTGGCGCAAAGCTGGTGCTCGGCCACGTGCTGCTCAAGCGGCCGGACGCGCGCCCCGCCGGCGAGTGTGCGGTGCGCGGCGTACACGCAGAGGTTGCGCACGCTGAGGATGCGCTTCAGGTAGGCGATCAGCAGGAAGAGCATCTTGGCCCCTCCTCCGACTTTGCCCTCCTCGTCCTCCGACGACTGGGCCAGCCGCTGCATCACGTAGTACATCAGGCAGCCGAAGCGCAGCGTGAGCTCGACCTTCTCGCACTCGTCCGGTTTCGTCAGGTCGAGCGCGAGCAAGGCCCGGCACAGCTCCGCGTCGCTCAGCGGCGGACTTGTCGGCGACTCCGGAGTCGTGAGCGCGATGTCGATGATCGCGCCCTTGCTGCGAAGCAGCTGAGAGGGCGGGCGGGCGGGGAAGGCGCAGAGGGCGAGAGGCGTGTCTGCACGCGCCGCACCCCGCCATGACCCCTCCTCCTACTCCCTTCACCTCCCGCTCGTAAGCCGTATCTCCCCCATGTCTCCCCCATATCTCCCCATATCTCCCTTCACCTGCCCCAGCCCGTTGAGCGCGTGCATCGTCTGGACGTTGTTGTACTGCTTCCCCTCTAGCCACGCGAGCATTGGGCAGCAGATGTCGGCCTCGTCGCACCGGAAGACCGCATCGCTCATCGGGCGCAGCACGTCGACGGCGCGCACGCTGAACAGCTCCCTCCCCGCGCCCGTGCCGGCGGCCCACTGCGCCGAGCCGGCGGGCAGTTTGTGCATCGCCTCGCGACGCACGTCGACGCCGGCGCGTCGGAACGCCTGGCGAGTCGCACAACCCCTCATGGCCTGTCCGAGAGTACTCTCGATTACGAGATTGGCCGTGACGACCCGGGATTACCCTGTTTTGGCCCAGTATTACCCGTGACTTGACTACCCGAGATGACTCGAGAACGCCTGGCAGTCGCGCAATCCCGTGTGCCACAGCGCCGCCGCCTCATAGACCCCGCGCAGCCAGCCGTTGTTGGCAGTGACGGCCTCGAGCCCCTCTGTCCCCACCAGCCGGTCGAGGCGCCCGAGCGGCGTGTCTCCGAAGCGGCACGCGCCGAGGTCGATCGCGTTGGGAGGCAACTCACGCGCGGCCTGCGGCAGAGTTCCGAGAAGGTTCCGAGCAGGTTCCGAGCAGGTTCCGAGAAGGTAAACCTCACGCGCGGCCTGTTCCTCCTCCTTCGTCCGCCGCGCCTGCACCTCGGCGAGCGAGCTGCGCAGCAGGCCGCTGTCCGGCTCGAGCTCAATCGCCTGCAGGAGCGCCTCAACCGCCGGGTCGCGCGGCTGGCCGCGCAACGGGCGGAAGGACTCGGCCAGCCCGAGCCGGTACCACGCCTACTTCGCAATGCGGCCGATCCAGAAGATGTCATCTAGTCACGCCTCCGAGCCGGTGCCACACCTTTGCGTTGCTCGGGTCGATTTCGGTCGCCGCAGCCGCGTCCGCCGCCGCCGAGTCGTAGTCGTCGTGCCCATATGCCGCGGCGGCGCGGTTGCTCAGCAGCTTGGATCGCTCGGCGGGCGTCGCCTTCTCCGCCACGGGCGCCGCGTCGTCCACCGCGAGTGCCGACGTGTACATGCGAATCGCCTCGTCGAAGCGGCTCCGTCGGAAGGCGTCGTTGCCAAGCTCCTTGATGCGGTCGCGCGCGGCGCTGTCCGCCTCGTCGGTCATCTTCAGCGCGGCGGCCGCCTCGGGTGGCACATATGTGACGTGCCCGACGGTCGGCTTGTTGACCTGCTCACAGCGCGCAAGCCGTGAAGAGGGCTCTTCACACAAAAGCACAACCCCGGGCAGCGGGTGACTGGCTGGCTGACCTGCATCTCGCACTGCGCCAGGTTCTGGCGGATCACCGGCGGGCAGCCGGGCATCTTAACCGCCTCGCGGTACAGCTGGATCGCCCGCGCGTAGTGCTTCTGCCGCTTCAGGCACAAAGCGTAGTTGTTGATGTACATGCAGCGCTCCCTGGGCGGGTCGGGGAAGAACCGCGTCGCGTACCGCGGCATGCGGTGGCAATCTGTGGCACGCAACGCACACCTGATGGGGCTGTGGCCTCGGTCCGCGAAGGAGGCCGCCTCGTGCGGGGAGCCGGCGCGCGACTGCTCGTACACGAGCGCGTAGAGCGGCTCGGCGGCGGCAAAGTCGCCCTCGGCCTCGTACCACTCGGCCAACTGATTGCGTGCATGCGTGCGGTTGCCCCACCAGCAGGCAACCCGCTCGGCGATACCCCAGACCGCGAAGAACTGCACGATGCACTCATTCTCCGCTAGGTCATCGAGAAGCCGGTCGCTCGTTGGTAGGCCCAGCAGAGCGGCGCGGCCCGGGTGACGGTCGTCATTCTGCATGCTGTGCGTGACTCGGAAGGCGGCGCTGTTCTGTCGGCTGCGATCGCAAAGGACCATCTGCCATCGGTCGATCCAGTCCAATGCACGCTGGTGGAAGCGATTGCGTCGAGCTCCGGAAACGGTCTTGAAGACGTCGAGCAGCGTGAGCGCCGGACAGTCATCCTCCGAGTCGGCAGCAACCTCCAAGTTGGCAGGCCGAAGAAGGACCGACTCACCCGCGTCGCTTTCCACCTTGGTCTGGTAGCGTCCCTTTTCTTCCGAGAAGCGAACGACCCATCCGTGATGGCCGTTGAGATCGGCGCGGCCTGTCAGGCTGTGGATGCGGACGCGCTGCGCTACCAGTCCGCCCTCCTCCGCAGGGATTTCAGCCGGTCGGAGCGAGCCCAACGCGCGGGCGAAGGCCGCCTCGACGCGTGGCTTCAGCCAGTGCGGGCAGTCGTCCATCGTGAGGCCAACATCGCCAGCCGAGAATGTGCTCATTTGCGCCTGGCAGTCCGTCGGGTGTCGCCAGCGCGCGTACCCAGTCAACTGCGCGATTAGCGGGGTCGGTCCGACTCGCTGCTCGCTTGCAAAAAAAATAACCAAAGGCGTGCCCCACAACGCCCTCTATGGGGTAAAGTATACTCACGGTCCACACCCTTTAGACGAAGTGGAAAACGACACACAACGACAGGTCATGCGGAGCGTGTGGGGCATGCTCGTCGAGGTGGAGCCGCGGGACCACCTCGGCTACTCTAACGACTACCGGCCCGACGTCTCGGTGGCGGGCGCCGGCCGCTCGCGCTCGCGCCTCGTCGGCGACGTCAAGTTCAAGGACTCGCTCTCCTCCAACCCGGAGGACGTCGGCCAGCGAGGCGCTTTCGTCGGCCTCGGCAACACCGAGCCCGGCACGAGCGCGGACGTCTTCGGCCTCGAGCAGCGCGGCGCTGTCGGGGACGGCGACTTCAGGCCGAGCGACGGCGGCGGCTATGTGGCGTACAAGAAGGCGGACTACGCGCACGCCCTCTCGCGCTCGGACACCGACGTGCAGATGTACCTGTTTGAAACCTTCGGCGGGTGGTGCAACGCGGTCAAACGGCTGTTCTACCAGATGAAGGACAAGGTGCGCAACAAGCTCTCGAAGCGGCAGCACGAGGACGAGGCGAGCTGGTCGACGCGGTCGTGGCTGTCGCTGCAGGCCCAGCGCATGTCAGTCGCGCTGCAGCTCGCGGCGGCGGAAGAGATTGCGACCGAGCTCAGGCTCGCCGCGGCGTCGGAGGACGCCGCCGTCGCCTAGACTCCCCTGCGTCACTACGTGCCTCCCCGTCTTTGTGGCCTGGCGTTTGTGCCCCGTTTGTGCCGCGTCCCGTGCCCCCGAGTTCATTTTATAACAACGACTGTCGTTTACACAACGTTGAAGTGGAAAACGACGGAATCGACGAACAGCTGGCAGACGAACCGGCCCTCATTCACGTTGACAAAGTTGGACGTAGCCGCCGAGACGTAGCCGGAGTAGTGGACGCAAGGATGTCCCTCCCACGCCGTCTCGCCGTCCGTGCAGTGGCGGTGCTCCTCCACCTTGAAGACCGAGATCCCCCACGCCTGACTGCTCTGGTCGCCAGCGCCGCACGAGGACGTCGGCTCGAGCAGCGCGATGTTCTTGTGGTCCCACGCACTCGAGACCAGCGCGTCCGCCTCAGCCGCGTCGCCCTCGATGGTCTTCGCGAGGTGGTGAGGGAAATCGGTGAACTTGACCGCCGTCTGCGGGTAGTAGTTGAAGGCAATGTCGGCCATGAAGTGGGCCGCGGTGTCGCCCTCCGTCTCGCTCGCCTCGACGTCGCGCTCCTTGATCACGACGTTGAGGTTCGAGCAGAAGCCAGAGGTGGCGATCAGCCAGGCGGGGTCGTCGACCACGTCGGGCACGGGAGGAGAGGGCTTGGGCGCGAAGGCGAGGCCGCGAGCGGCTGGGTTGATGTCGTCGACGGTTTCTGCCTGCGCACTCGTGTGGTGCGTGTAAGTTCAAGCCTGCATGTGAGTAAGTGCGGCTGGGCGGAGCGACGCACCGGCAGGGCAGACGTCGACAGAGCGACGAGCAGAAGCGAGGCAATCTTCAGCATCCAGTCCAAGATGTACCCCGCGAGATGTACCCCGCGGCCAAAACGCCGCTTTTCAGAAGAATTTTTAAAACACGCCGGAGGTTGGTGTACCCGGGAGGAGGAGATGGGGGAGGGGAGTTGCCGCGGTACGATAGCGGACCCGCCGGCGGGCCGGAGGGCCGTGGCCGGAGGGCCCCGGGGGGGGGCTTGGGGTCAGTTGTCGGAGGAGGCGAGAGATGAGCTAACGCGGCCTCTGAGAGTGGAGTCGGGACGTACGGGCTCACCGGGGGAAGACCAGTTGCAGGGGCAACCGGACCACCGCGACCTTCGACAGGGAGGGCCACGCCTCCCCGAGCCTGGAGAGGAGCTGGCGGAGGGGGGGGGCGAGCCAAGGACGATAGAGAGGCCGCGAGTGCGGGCACGACTCGCCGACCAGGGAGAGCGGGCTCGACCTCCCTGGGAGGGGAGGCGACACGACCCAATGCCGCCGCCCTCGCCCGGGGAGACCTCGACCGGGCCGTCGACGCCCTCGGAAGCGGTGGAGCCGGGAGAAGCTGGCGGAGATGAAGGGCGGCAGCGGAGGAAGCGACACCAACAACGAGGGAAACGACCAGACCGGTCGTCGCATAACGCCCGGGAGACGAGCAAGAGAGCGAATCAAGGAGGGTTGAGACCCTGGGAAGGCGAGGGGTGAGCCCTCAGGCGGGGGGGTCTACTCAAACGGCCGACGCAAGTGAGTGTAGAGTGGTGGTGTGGGGCGTGCAGTATGGTGTTCATTAGCTCCGAGTAGAGGGGGCGTCCTGCAGTTAAGGGGAAACCCGGTACGCGGGGCTAACCCTCGGAGACCCGTGTTTACTTTAAGGCCCTTGCCCTGCAAACGCGCACCCCCGGGGCTAGGGCTTTCTTGCCCGCAACCCGATCCTAGGGGAGAAGTGTGGTGTTAGCCGTCGCCCACCCTCGGGCGTCTACCACTTCACGTGCCCAGTGTTGTGCGAGCTAAAATTCTTTTTCTTTTGTTTAAATTTCTTCTTTTTCTTGCCGGTCTGAGTGTTAGATTTGTTTGGTATTGCTAAAAACCCAGCCCACTCTTTCCTTTGCACCTGATGCTACAGAGGGCTGACAGCGCGCTGACAGGGAGGGAGCCCATCGCACCACCAGGTGGAAGAGAAGTGGGCTGTAAAAAATCTCTCTCTCTCTCTCAACAGGGCAGCGCTGCTTCAAAGACGCAGACGCCAGCCTCAAGGAAGAGGTCCGCTGCGGCGTCGGCGTCGTCGGCGGTGGCGGCGAGGTCGCCGTCCGCGACGAGGTGGGTCATGGAGTTGCCGACACGACCTCCAGCACGGTCGTGTCGAGCGGCGTGTCCAAGCGGGTGCGAGCGGTTTCTTTATTTTTTCCTGCGCCTCCGCCTGTGACCTTGTCGCTGAGAGGCTGGAGCGTCCGCGTGTGACCTTGTCGCGATGCAAGTGCCACGAAGCGCTATTTCCTGCTCCCAGCTCACCACCTCGCCTTCTCTGTCGCTCTCCTGGCCCAGGCCCATCGGGAGAGATCCCATCGGTAGCAAGCCTGAGCCGTCCCATACCGCACTTACCTTGGGTCTGCAAGCTCACACCGGCTCGTGACGGCACGCAGAGGGCTCGAGATTGTCTCCGGTGGACCCCATCCAGAGAGGAGAAGGATCTGACCTCAGGTCCGATGTGACCAAGCGCTGGTAGCGTGCTTTTACCTCACACCCACGGTCTCGCGGTGTGGGCCATATCCCTCTGGCTCTCGGTGTTACCTCCAGCTGTGGGAACAATGCGCTCAGTATTTTTCTTTTTCCTCCCCTCGTCCGCACCATATCCGCGCCGTGCCACGGCAGACGTATGCTCCCGCTCAGCGTCTTCTCCGCCAGCGCGGCCGCGTTGCTGCACACAGCTGCACGGGGTCTCGTCCCAGCAACCGCTCCGCCGCGAACCCGGCTGGTCGCGCTCTCCTCCGTGCCGCGGCTGTGCGTGCTCGACCTCGACGAGTGCGTGTGGTCTCCCGAGATGTACACGCTCAGCCACATGCCCAGCAGGCCGCTGATCGGCGATCTAAACGGCCGCGGCGAGGGCGTCGTCGGCGTTCACAGCGGCGGCGACGTGATTCGCATCTACCCAGGCGCGCTGCTGGCGATGCAGGAGGTGGCAGACGGGCTGCACGGAGAGATGCGCATGGCGGTCGCATCCTCGGCCGACACGCCGCTGGCCGAGCGGATCGGCCGCGCGGCGATGGCGCTACTCGAGGTGCTTCCCGGCCTCACGATGGCGGACCTGCTGAGGCGAGGCTACGAGGACGGCCGCAACTTGCAGATCGGGCGGCAGCCGCCGCTCTCGAGCGACAAGTCCCGCACGCACTTCCCCATCCTGCGCGACGCATGCGGCGTCGCGTACGAGGAGATGCTCTTCTTCGACGACTCGGCGAGACGCAGCCGAGAGGGAGGGAGACGGCACACTGCCCATGCCACGCACGCCTCTCGTCGCTCCCCCGCCCCGAAGGTGTGGAGCGACCACTGCGGCCTCGTCGCTGCAAACTGCCCCGGCGTGGTGACGCAGCGCACGCCGCGAGGCATGCAGGAGCACGAGTGGAGGAACGGGCTGCGCAAGTTCGCGGCGGAAGCGGCCGAGCGGGGCGCCTCGACCTCGGAGCCGAGCGGGGCCTGAGTGTGTCGCGTAAGGTAAGGTAAGGTAAGGTAAACTTCTCCACACACACGAGGTGGTGGGGCAAGGGGGGGCGACCCGCGCGTCTCCACGTCTAACGACAGGAGCACCACGGCATTTAAAAAGTGCAAGGCCCGGTGCGCGTGGGTGAGCGGTGTGTGTGTGTGTGTGTGTGTGTGTGTGTGTGTGTGTGTGTGTGTGTGTGTGTGTGTGTGTGTGTGTGTGTGTGTGTGTGTGTTTTGTGTGTGTGTGTGTGTGTGTGTTTTGTGTGTGTGTGTGTGTGTGTGTGTGTGTGTGTGTGTGTGTGTGTGTGTGTGTGTGTGAGGGGGGTGTCACGTCACTGCATCCTCTGCCGGTTCCGCCCGTCGCCTCTTCTTTGTTCGAATGTTTTTCAATCCATCCTTCACGAAGCCCTCCCATGTAGCTAGCGTTCTTTGCGAATGTCTCGAAATGGCCAGCACCCCAGCAGGCGCTGTCTGCTCGCGGTCTGTGCGGGCCGCTCGTCCTCCTCGCCCTTCTTTCGCCCTCCCGTCCCTCCCCTCCACCATGGCCTCCTCGGCACTTCTTTCTCCATCCGCCTCGCCCTGCTTTTTTCGTATCGTGCCGTTCGCCCTCCATTCGGTGACATGGCCGTCCGTCTCCTTTTGGGTGGCGCTCTCGATACGGTTGCGTCAACCTCGACGTCGCTGTCGCCCTCCCCGTCCCCGTCCCCGCCGTCGCCCGTGCC